AACCCTCTCTTGGCCAATTCTAAGGACTTAAAATTTTTATTTTTCCAAACCACATCAGTTCTGGAATTTAGCCACTTAACTACTTCCTCAGAATCAGTTTGACTGATTTCAAGACCCTCAAAACCAGAAATTTGTAAAGAGTCCAATGCAGACTCATGCAAAAATTTATCTTTGACTACACAGTCAATGATATCTATCCTAGAACACTCCTCTATGTCTCTTGGGTATTTCATGGCTTGCAAAATATTAAATTTTACTTGCTCACCATTCACATTCATGGCCAATTCACCCTCCTTAACATCTATGACAGCCCCACCAGTGGCTAAGAAAGCCCTTCCTAAAATTATAGGCACCTCTCGGTCTTCCTCATAGTCTAAGATTATAAAATCAGCTGGTAGAATAAATTTATCTACCTTCACCAAGACATTCTCTACTTTTCCTTCCGGATAAACTAAGGACCTATCAGCCAACTGTAATGTGACAGTGGTGGGGTTAGGTTCTCCTACTTTCAACTTTTTGTACACACTCAAAGGCATCAAATTGATACTAGCACCTAAATCACACAATGCTTTGCCTATGTAATGGTCTCCTATGGTGCATGGGATTGTAAAGCTTCCTGGGTCTCCCAATTTAGGAGGTATCTTACTAAGCAGATATTGACTGCTCTCTTGTGTAAGAGCAACAGTCTCAAACTCTTCTAGCCTCCTTTTTCTTGAAAGAATTTCTTTCATGAATTTCACATAAGTGGGCATTTGTTCTAATGCATCCACAAATGGAATGTTGACATGCAACTGTTTTAGGAGGTCTAGAAATTTCCTAAATTGAGTGTCTTGCTTCTGTTTTTGTAACCTTTGAGGGAAGGGTGGTGGAGGTCTTTTTGAGGCAGCAGGTGTCTCACTATTTGGCTTAGGGGCCGAACCCCTTGGAGTGGATTTTTCCATGGAATTATTCCCTAAAGGCTCATCTATAGGGGGCTGATTGTCTGGTTCAACCAGAATGAGCAAGGGGTCACTATGCGCAGCCCCTTGGGGGCTGTTAGGAACAATAGAATCCTGAACAGGTTCAGAATTTGCATCTTTTTTCTTTTTGCATGTTCTCCTCTTCTTTCTTTTTTTAATGTGGAAGGTCTAACCACAGCTTCTGGTTGATTATAGATCTGCCATTTCTAAACTCTATCATATTGCATTGCTCTTTATTTCTTCTAGGCTCTTCAGTGTTGCTAGGCAAGGTACCAGGGGGTCTGGTATTCATAGTGTTTACTAAATGGCCTAGTTGGGATTCTATGTTCCTCAAGGATGCTGGAATACTTTGCACAACAGCTTCCAAGCTGTTTTGCTTGGTCTCATTCTTAACCAAGTATTCCCTTAACAAAGCTTCTAAGGAAGAAGGTGGAGCAATAGGCATCTCACTAGGTTGAACAACAACTTGCTGCCTTGAAGTTTGTTGGTAATTCTGGGTCGGAAAAGGTATTTTTGTTTGGGCATTAGAAAGGCCAGCTTGCTGCCCTTGCCCTTGAAAATATTGAGGCTGTTGGTTCTGCCTCCATCCTTGGTTAAAGTTATTGGGAAAATTATTTTGGTTTCCCACATAAAACACAGAGTCTGGGTTGGATGGGCAACTATCATACAAATGGGACCCACCACAGCAAACACAAGTTACACTTGTGTTTATTGCGTTAACTTGAGGTTGGGTCACAGGTATTTGAGGTGTAGGTACAGGAACTTGGGGTTGGGACAATCTTGCCTCAATGGTTTGTCCTTGGGTTCTCATTAAATTTGACAATGCATCAAACTTGGCTGAAAGAGCTGTTACAAGGTCTATCTCATGTAAACCAGCCACTCTCCTTGGCTGATTTCTCTCTTCAGGCCATTGGGCATAATTTTGAGTCATTTGTTCTAACAACTCATGGGCTTGGTTAAAGGACATAGTCATAAACATGCCATTAGCGGCAGAATCTGCCAAGGCCCTGTTTTGAGTATTCAGGCCATTGTACAGGGTTTGTAACACTGCCCAAGAGGGCAAACCATGGTTGGGGCATTGCTTAAGAAGGTTCTTGTACCTCTCCCACACATCCACTAGTGTCTCTCCATCCCTCTGCATGAAGTTAGCAATATCACCTCTAGTTTGCACTATCTTATTGGAGGGGAAAAATTTCATGATGAATTTCTCAGCAAGGGTGTGCCAATTGGTTATGGAGTTGGATGGAAGGGAGTTCAACCATTCTTTGGCTTTGTTAGCCAGTGAATGAGGGAAAAGCTTCAATCTTAACACATCATCCGAGATGGTGGGATTCCTAAAAGTGTTGGCCACTTCTATGAAATTTCTAAGGTGCTTGTGTGGGTCTTCCATCAACAACCCACGAAACTGCCCCATATTTTGGAGCATGGTGAACATCACCGGTTCTAGCTTAAAGGGCACTCCATTCACAGGTTGAGCTATGCTTGGATCTAATTCATCCAACACAGGTATGATGAAGTCCATCATGGACCTATCATTGTCATTTATGACAGGTGGGTTCTCTATCCTTGCAGGTCCTCCTACCCCATCATTCCCATTTACACTTCCTAAATCCTCCATTTCTTCAACTTCTAGAAGTGGAATTTGCCTATGTGCTCTCTGGGCACTTCTCCTAACTCTAACTGTCCTTTCAGGTTCAGGGTCAATTGAATCTATGAACGGGTGTGGAGTTGCACTCATGCACCCTTTTTAACTAAAACAGGTAAACCTGACTTAGCTAAAACACCTAGATTACTAACCAACTTTTATGCAAAACAAGCAAAAAATAAACAAACAAGAACTTGCAAACAGAAAAGTCTCAAGACAGTTCACAGCTTTTCAGCTTTATAAGGCAGACTCACTAACAGAGTGAGACTGATACTTAAAATAAAACTGTAACTACAAAATTATGAAATAAAATAACAAATATGAAATATTAGGCTAAAAAAAAAATTAAATGACATAAAGAAAACAAAATATGAACAGATTAAAGTTTTTAAGCTATTACTATTCACGAACTATAGTAACACTACTGAAACAGAATTCAAATTAAGCTAAACTAAAAACAGCAAAAATAAGCAATTCAGAAATAGCAATCACACAAAGAAATCTGATCATGTACGCCTCGATCCCCGGCAACGGCGCCAAAAACTTGTTGCCTTGCTAACAGTTGTGCAAGTAATGCGCGCAAGTATACGCGACAACAAGTAATATAGGGCTTTTGTGAGTCCCAGTAATCGTTCCCACAAGGATCTTTGCGTTTTAACTGGAAATAAATGGTAATTGCTAAAAGAACTAAAAATAAAAATTAATAAAATTAAATGCTACTACTTTTCTCAACTAAAGAGCTGAAAATATTTTTGTAGTGATTTTCTCTTTTTTAAAACAATGGTTTAATTGGGTACAAGTTCTTTAACTACTGCCTAGAAAAAGGACTTAAATAAAAAGCTGGTAAAATATATTTGTGGTTTTCTTTTAAGTTTAGAAACAGAAAAACTAATTTCAGATTTTGATGAAAAATAATGTGACAAAAATTGGTTTTAAAACAGTAGTTGAAAATGAGTTAGGTTTCAATTTCCCCTTCCCTCAATTGTTATTGGGATGCTTTAACAAAGCACAAAAATTGCTCCCAGCTTAACGAAAATATTAAGGTAATTGTTGTTTCCCAACAACAATTTTCTTCCCCTGACAACAGTTGGCATATCCCTATGTCACTGTTGTCATAGGATCTTAAAGAACAATTTTCACAAGTTACATGGGGGTAACTTCATCCCTGAAGCCATACCCATTGAGAGAGGTTTTACTCTCAACTTTCCATGTGCTCACAATGAGGTCTAATGTGAGTTATTTCCCAATAACCTCACACCACTAAGAGCTGACTATGTGTGATCATCACATAGTCAAACTCCGCAACAAACATGCACAGTAAACAAGCTGAAAACAACCATGTAATTTAGGGCTGTCAAAAAGGGCTCAAGCCCTAGGGCCAGCCCTATAAAATTTTAGCCCTCTATGTAATTGGGCCATTTTAAGCCCATCCTTTCAAAGCCCTCTCATTATAGGGTTAGGTTGGGGCTGGCCCGCGAGCTACAATATTCAACCCAATTTACAACGAAAAAAATTTCATCAAAAGTTTTGACGGATAAAAGAATTCCTTCAAAAATTTTAACGGAATATTTTCCGTCCAAAATCTTCGATGAAAATGTGACCCAATGAAAATTACAACGGAATTTTTTTTTTCAAATTTTTTGAGGGAAATGTATATGTGAAACTTTCGACGGAATTTAGATTTCGTAAAGATTTTTAACAAAATATTTTTTTCGTTGAAATTTTTTACAGAAATATTTTGGGCAAAGTTTTTTACAGAAATGATTTTTGTGGAAAAATTTTGACGAAAATGTGTCCGTTTAAAATTTTGATAGAAATATTTTTTATCGAAAATTTTGTCAAAAATATTTTTCGTCAAATTTTTTTGACGAAAATGTGTTGCGTCAAAAATTTTGACGGCAATTTTTTTCGTCAAAAATTTTGACAGAAATTTTTTTCATCAACAATTTCGACGGAAATTTTTTTGTCAAAAAATTTGACGGAAATATTTTCGTCAAAAAATTTGACGGAAATTTTTTTGGTCATAAATTTCAACAAAAACTTTTTTCGTCAAAAATTTCGATGAAAATTTTTTCGTCAAGAATTTCGGCGGAAATTTTTTCGTAAAAAATTTCGACGAAAATTTTTTCGTCAAGAATTTCGGCGGAAATTTTTTCGTAAAAAATTTCGACGAAAATTTTTTCGTAAAAAATTTCGACGAAAATTTTTTCGTCAAAAATTTCGACGGAAATTTTTTCTTCAAAAATATTGACGGAAATTTTTTCGTCAAAAACTTTTACGAAATTTAAATTCTGTAAAGATTTTTGATGAATTTTTTTTTGGTCAATTTTTTTACAGAAACATTTTCTGTCAAAACTTTCTACGAAAAAATTTCTATGCAATTATTTTTATTTTTTCTAATAATTTCTATGCACCATTTTATTATAATTTTTTTTTTTAAAAAAATACATATTATTTTTTTAGAAGGCCCGCGGGCTGGCCCTAACCCATAGGGCTTTGGCCCGTGTGGACCTATATCATTGTGGGCTTTTTGGCCCTAACTCACTTGGGCTAGGGCTAAATGGGCCGGGCTGACCCGTTTTGACAGCTCTACATGTAAATATTAAAAACACAATCCAATAACAGTGAGTTTCGGGTACTTTTTCAACCCAACTCCCAGAAAAATTAGCTCATCACCACAGGTTGATGAGCTAGAATACAGTAAGCGTTCATAATAAAAGATGGAAACTTTAAAAGGTACTGGAAATAAAAACTCAGGAACTATCAACAGCCGATAGTCCTGACCCAAGTGCTCATAAAATTTACAAACAGATTACTAAAATAAAATCAAAAAACAGTAGCATGAAAAATAACCTAAAGAGCAAAAATAAAAATTATCCCAGAACAGAAGAGAGGTAGGGAGAGAGAGAGATCCTCAAAGAAAAACCTTTGTCCCTCCTTTATAGCTTCTCCAAAATCGTCCCCTCCAACGTACGCTCCTCGCTCCCTTTGATCGTGGGTGTCTCCTTGTACGATTCAGCAATACTCCAAAAAGCAGCCTTTTCCACTAACGACCTCCAGCTCATCCACTCTTTTGGATTGTTCTGGCTTGAACCAAGAATCGGTTAGGGTTTGTGTGGGATTGGTTTGATTCGAGAAATGAACCGTGATGGAGGATTAGGGTTCTGTTTCTTGAGTGAAAATCAGAGGGTGTTTCGGTGAGGAGAATCTGAAAGGAACGGTTGAGATGAAAGTCTAGAGGAAAATGGGTTTTCTTGGACGGTTTGAGAGCTAGGGCTTTTTGTTTTTCCTTCTTTGTTTCTGATCTTACGCTTCTGATCTGTCCCTTTGTCTCCTCTTTCTTTTCTTCTTTTCTGATTTCTCTTTTCTTTCCTTCTTTGGGCCGCTGATGGATTAAATTTTTCTGGCTCATTCTCTTCTTTTCTTTTCTTTCTTTTCTGATTTGTATTTTCTTTCTTCCTCCATGTTCGGGCTTCTGATCACAAAATGACTGGCCCATTTTTTTCTTCTTTCATTAGCTTAGGAAAATAATACCAATTGGGCCTGGAACATAAAAGTTCAGCCCATTAACATTCTAAATCAGAAATCATTATTTCAATGCAATAATTGAGGTTGTTATGAACAAAGATAGTCTATTCATTCCCATTTTATCATCAAATCACATGCTCTAAGTCACAATTCATGGACTTATCACGCATCATGAACTTATAACTTAGGATAGATAAAATTTGAAATAAGTGAAAAACATACAAGAAGGACGGGTATCACAAAATTAGTGTTATTCCCTCGTTGATCTTTAACTTACAACCATGAAAAGATAAAATTCCAAATAATTGAACACATACAATACAAGATATTAAAAAATGGAATTCTTCATCTATTTTACTTCCAAAACACCAAGTATAGGCAACGTAAGAAACTCAAATATACCAATAAAAAGACTAGTTACATGCATAACCAATAAAGAACCTCTTTACGCTGCCAACGGTGAATACAATTGACTAAAGGTTTGGCTCATAAGGACTTGGGTTCAAATCTTAGTATCAATAAGCAACTATCAGTATCCATTACATTACTCGAAACACCAGACCATAATATCCCTGGCAAAAAAATTAAAATAATGTTTTTTAATTAAATAATTACGCATTTATTACAGTTTTAGAAAAAATTATGGATCTATTGCACACTGTGACGCCTCTTTTGGGCGTCACATGTGACCCCCATTGAGGCGTCTCATCCTAAGGGGAAGACGCCCAAATGGGGCGTCTCTCATGAGGTGTTGACACGTGTCACTTTTTTTTCTAAAAAATAAAATAATTTAATCATAAAACTTCTAAAGGCCATAACTTTTGACTCAAGTATCCAAATCAGGTAATTCTTTTTTTGATTCGACATAACTTTTTGAGATCTACGCAATGACATCTCATTTGATATATTTTATTTCTCACAAACATAATTTAAATTTAAATCAGGTAATCATTCTTCCTTAGATATTTAGAATATTTATTTAATTATTTCCTTT